TGCTTCCCCAGCACTCGTCACAGAGGCAGGTGAGGAGGTGGGTGGCTGGCAGCCTGATGGAGGCCACTGGGAGAAAAGGCAAGAGGAGCTCAAGGGCCAGGCCTGACAGGCCTGAGGTCACGGAGGACGGGGGGGGTGACGGCAGGCGATGGGACAGAGTGTGATGGAACCTGGACAGGCGTCCCTGATCCCATCTCCTCCCCGCCCTCTCCAGACCCCACCGCTGCAGCCCCTCCTCCCAGGGGACTAGCAGGCATCACGCGCTGGCCCTGCCCATGCCAGCCACTCACACCTTGCCCACCAGCACAGCCTCCTGCACATGGGCACCAAGAGACACCTGTCCCCTCCCCCGCCCCACCCTGCCCGCTCCTCCACCCACTCTATCCGCTCTCCAGCCCGAGGCCGGCACCGACTCCTGGGCCTCCGTAACCTGTAAGTGGCCCATGCAACGTGGGCACCACATGCCTGTCCCAGGACCTGCAACTGTTTCCTCCCTGCCTGTGGGGCTGCCTAACAGAAGCAGTCTTATTTTACATGGTATCTCCCCATCTTTACTGCATAGCGTCCTTGTCCCCCGTCTCACTAAAGAAGGCCCTCCCTGGCCCCGAGTGAGAACCTTCGCCCTGACTGCCCTGCACGGGTGCACGCTGGTGCAGCTCTGGGGTCTGCCCACTGTCTACCTGTGTGGATGGTGTGAGGTGGGGACCATCCATGGTTCCCAAACGCCCAGCCAATCGTCCCCAAGGGCCTTGCAGCTGTCCAGCCTGCCTAACCTCGGCCATACCCAGGACTCCTGGTCACATGGGCCCCTTGGGGCCCTGCACGTCACCAGGCCTCTGCTGCTGCGGTGGTCACCTTAGCTTCAGTGCCTACTCTGGTGTCTGGCGGGCAGGTCTCCGTCATGGCTATTCACGGGATCTTCTAAAGCCCTGACTGGGTCCCGCCAGGCCAGGAGCCGTGCAGATGCCTAAGTCCATGAAGTAACACAGCAAGAAAGTCTGTAGCCCGGAACCAGAAGCCAGCACAGTGGTGTCCAAAGGTGCCAATGAACAGCAACAAGCTCCAGCTCCCGAGGCAGTGGGGAGGCCCGGCCTGGAGCAGCGTACCTCTCAGCCATTCGTGCACAGGACACAGGTAAGCAAGATCCATGCAAAGGACAGAACCAGGGCAGGGGACGCAAGGAGATCTGCCGGTGCTGGATGTGGAGCGTAGCTGCGTGGCTGGGCTCACTTTGTCCCATCTACGGAGCTGCGTGGTGCAAATGTGTGCACTCTCAGTAGGCATGTTTCACAGCGGGGCAAGGACTCCCTGTCCACTCCCAAAAGCTGCCATCAGAAGCAAGCGTACAGGCCCTGTCCTCTTCCCCCTGTTGTTCCGTGACATTCCTTCGGGTAAGGGTGGGGGGCAAGGGCAGGAGAGGCAGAGGGAGCCTGAAAGAGTCGCCTGTTCAGAGGAGACAGGACAAGGCTGGATCAGTCCCAGCACAAGATAGCTCCACGTAGGACGCAGTGCCGTGGGCTGTCGTAGGTGTGACACAATGACACAGCCTGCCTGAAAGGAGAGCCACTTCGCTCC